TGGAAGATTAAATATGTAACTCTAATTTTTTCTTTCTTTCCTTGAATCAGCTGCTTTTATTGCCAGAAAAGAAAACCGATACAACGAAGTGAAACTCCAAATAAGAGTTCCAATCCAAGAGAACAGCTCACAAAAACAGTCACTCCTCACTTCCACTCAATGTAAAAGCACTACTTACAAATCTCAAAAGGAAAATCTATAAGTATCCAACACGTGTAAAAGCATCTAGAGTTCCCCTATCTCCAGCGGCGGATCCAGAACACAGAAGAGCACTGGACCGCATTTCATTAGAAAATTAGAACCGTAAAAAAATATAATGATTATAGTTTTTTGCAATGTAATTTGTACGCAACTGTATTTTAATTTAGGGAATGCATCAATAATGAAGTCTACATCCATACCAATAGTATACACTGTTTCAAATAAAATACTTGAGCAATCGGCGAGAAATTCATCGCTCATTTTGTTGAGCAAATCAGTTCTCACATGTTTCATTGTTAAAAAGGTTCTCTTCGTAGTAGCTGTTGAAACGAGCAGCATCAACACTAGATAAATCAATCGACTAATCAATTTACATTGTGTGTCCATCCCTACACACCAGCTAGTAAATTTGTAAGGGAACAAACCTCATATTTCTTTTAGTCTTTTACGTTTTTAACTTTTTAGAATTTTAGGTTTCAATGTTTTTTTAAGATGCATAATCTTTGGGGCTAAAATTTCTAGGCTAAATTTAGAATAGTGATTTGAATATGTTCAACTTGATAATTTTTCTAGTTAAACCCAATCTTATCATAGAATAACACTGAATTGAATGTCTAAAATAAAAAATTTCATAAGGACTATAGTAACTACGGATCCAGAGGAGGGCTGGGCCGGGGCCTGGGGTGGCCACCCCCTGGATCCGCCGGGGCCTGGGGTGGCCACCCCCTGGATCCGCCGGGGCCTGGGGTGGCCACCCCCTGGATCCGCCAGTGCCTATCTCTACAAGATATGAACATTAGATCCGCTCTAATAAGATCAACAATGAACTCAGGACTTCGACAGGGGTTACCATGAATGACTTTGCACCGTTCCTTCCCGATAAAGGACACTGTAAGCCACCAAAAAAGAGCATGCCATTGCCCAGAATGAGCGTCTCTGTGTATTGTTGCGGTAATAAACTGTATCATTGCATCCCAGCGTTGAAAATTCAGAAGAGGGAAATGCAGCAGCGCATAAAGACGCCGAGAAAAGCTGCAGCAGAGAAACAAATGCTCTCGATTTTTCACACCAACACCACAAAGCGGACATGCAACATCTTTGATTTTTCCCCATTGCAACAGTTTATCTCTAGTGGTGATGGGATTTCGAATTACCAACCAAGTGAGCAAGCTATATCTTGGGGACAGTATATGCTCCATATAAGCTTATGCCAAGAGACAAAGGGAGCCCTCCTGCGTAACGTTTCCCATACTTTCATGACTGAATAAACCGTCATCTCCTGCGAATCCCAATAGAGGACGCCATTTTGCTGATGTATCCATGGTAGAATGATGCCATGCAATTTAAGAAGTCTGCGCCAAGTCCACGAACTACTATACTGCACTTTAAGTGACCAAAGATCCCCCTGCCAACATTTGTATCCGTACATCCACGCAACCCGCAGAGCTCTAGCCTGCATAAGAAATAACCAGAGCATACGAATGGAGCAAGCCTGATTCCATGCCATCAGGTCTTTTACCCCAAGTCCACCCTCCTTCCTAAGCAAACCCACAGAATCCTATGACACCTTAGCTCTACCCGCATCATTTCCATGCCAAAGAAAATGAGAACATAGTTGTTGAATCCGCTTCAATGCCTTCTTTGGGAGAACAAAGAGTTGCATCCAATACTGTACTACTCCAAGCAACACTGAGTTAATTAGCTGCAGCCTTCCAGCATAGGTTAGTTTCTTGGCTCTCCATGATTTTATCCGCTTAGTAACCTTGTCATAGAGGATGTCAACCTCTGTGGATGAAAGCTTCCCAGACATTAAAGGAAGCCCCAAATATCTAACAGGCAGTTCACCTTCCTTAAAACCAGATAGATGCAGGGCATTGCTTTTATAGTTGATAGCCTCTCCTCCAAAATAAATTTCACATTTAGAAGGGTTGCTTTTAAGCCTAGACAGCTTATAAAACTTGTGCAGAACCTCTTTAACCTGAAGGATCGCTTGGGCTGAGCCAGTAGTAAATACTAGAATGTCATCAGCGAAGCACATGTGATTTAAAGAGATTGTCTGGCATTGAGAATGAAAAGGAATCATTCCCGACTGACTTGCAGAGAATAGCATAGTCGAGAGACCTTCCATAGCAATGGTAAACAAGTACGGTGATAACGGATCACCTTGCCTGACTCCTTTCCTAGCTTTAAAGAATCCACATAAACTGCCATTGATATTGAAACTATAGTGGACAGTTTGTAAACAAGCCTTAATCCACTTCATAAATCTTTCATGGAACCCCATGGCATGCATCATAAGAAATAAATACTGCCAATTAACGGAATCAAATACCTTCATGATGTCAATTTTTAGTGCACACCGAGAAGACAAATGGGTTCTATTGTATCCACTAACTATCTCATGAGCCAATAGGATATTATCCATTATGCTTCGACCTTTAACAAATGTTGACTGAGTATTACTAATGATCAGGGGCATAAACTCACTAATACACCTAGCAAGAATCTTAGCCACTATTTTATAGAGAAGATTCACACATGATATTGGTCTAAAATTCTTCAAGGTATCAGCATTAGACATTTTGGGAATTAAAGACAGAGCAGTGGCATTTACTCCACTAGTGAGATTACCTGTCTGAAAGAAGAATAGGACTGCATTGATTATATCCTCCCCAATAATTGGCCACGTCTTTCTGTAAAACCCCGCCGAAAATCCATCCGGTCCTGGCGCTTTCTAAGGATTCAAGCTAAAAATCACATTTCTTATCTCTTCCGCTGTGACTTCCTTAACAAGGGCATCACATTCAGGATCAGGTAAACGATTATGAACAAGCTGCTCCACCTCCTCTCTACTCCTGTTAATTTCCATGTTAACCTCACCCAATAGTTTCTTATAGAAGCCCAAAACCTTCTCAACAATATGGTCAACTTGAAAAATTTCCTCTCCTGAGTCTTTGACCAACTTCCTAATAGATCGCTTGGAATTACGAATCTTGACAGCTTGATGGAAGAAGTTTGAACTCTGATTTTCAACTTTCAACCAAGATACCCTCGATTTCTGCCAGTAGAAACTCTCATAAGCCGAGGATATATGATCATAGTGATCCTTAGCAAGTGTAACCACTTCAAAATGTTCAGCAGTTTGGTATGAGTATGCAGTTGTTTGGGCACGCAGCAACTCACCCTCAGCCTCTTTAACTTGGTCTTGCAGGTTTCCATAAACTTCTCTGTTAAATTTCTTTAAAGCTTGCTTGACCCTACCCAATTTACTTTGAATAAACTGCAAAGGCGTCCCTGAAACCTCAAACACGCCAAGCATCCTCAACTATCCCCATAAAGAGCGGGTGCTCTGCCCAAAACTCAAAATATTTAAAAGTTTTGGGCAGAGATTTTATAGGGGCAACGGTACAAACCTGCACCCCACAGTGGTCCGAGAAATGGGCAGGGAGAGCCTCCATAGCACAATCTTTAAAATGCTCAATCCAATCCATATTAACAAGACTTCTGTTAAGACGCCGAGCAATAGGATGATGAGCTTGCCGATTTGTCCATGTGAACTGTGGTCCCGTTGTTCTATAATCTACCAACTCCATCTCCTCAATCCATTGATTAAAACCATCCATACTTGAAGTAACGGATCGCTGATTAGACATCTCATGAGGAGCCCTTACAGTATTAAAATCACCACCAATTATCCAAGGATGGCCAACCACCTTCATCTGTGCAATCTCCTGCAACCTGCCCCAACTTGGAATCAAAACAATTAAGACATTTCTGCCAACCTGCAAAAACCTCCTCTACTACTTCCTCAACTTTATTTGCCTGAACCCTGGTCTCAAGAACTGCAACTACATCTACTTTATTTCTGCGTAGGACTTGCATCAAGTCCCTCTGCTTGGAGGTTTTATTAAACCCCCTTACATTCCAGAACAAAATAATCATTTCAAAGTTGGGAGTTTCCCCCCACCCTTCTTCATATCCTTCTTTATCTCCTTTTTTCTGTGGTGCTTCTTGTATCTTACTAGCTTCCTTACCTGCTTCTTGATCCTCCAACTTCCCTAAAACACTAAAAGATGAGTTCGAAACTTGAATACCTTTAGAACTATCTTGAGAAAGCCAGACTTGAGGCCTAGTCCCATTAACCACTCTCTGAAATTCATCTTCAGAGGGTAATTTGGGTGAAGAGTACGTAGCCACCTCCTGGAAAGATTTCTCCAAATTCTGAGGGGCCACTTTGCTTCGTCCTACCGGGATGGGGGTAGTAAATATGGCCATCAGTTGAGGATCATCATCATAGAGCACCACCTCCTTACCTTTATCAGACACTACCTGTTGATCCATATTCTTATTCACTTCCTGATTCACTAGAATAGTCCTATCATCCTACCCCTGAACTGTAATTACTTTCTCATTATGCACTGGCTTTGCCACCCACTGTTTCCCTTAATGATCAGCACATGAACCAGTAGTGCCAAAGAGATGACACACATGGCAAATGGGAGGCAGGTTACAGTAGGTGATCCCAATGCGAATGGAGGAATCATCATCAGGCCACAAAAGAACATGATAAGGATATTCACTTTCAACTGTAAGCTCTACCAGAACTTTGGGAAACCCGTGTCTATCCCCCATTCGAGTAGTATGAATGTATGATCCATACCCAGTGGAACCCCAATCCAGCTCGCTATTTTGCTCAGCCCATGGAAATCATTATACTCTAATGGAACATTCGCTAAATTCACCCAGATCGGCAGAGCCTTCCTTTCCAAATCCTCAAAACTAATACCAGGAACCCAAGGTCAAAGATAAAGCAAGTTGTTGAACCAAAACCATGGACCATTCTCAAGAATCCACTCACAAACCTTCTGGTTAGGCAATTGAATGAGCAACATCTTATCATAGAGCAACCAAACCGTCACCAGAACGTCCCGCCCCCAAAGTTTATTGACCCTAAGACGCAGAACATACAATGGAGGCGGATCCTGAAGAAATTGACCCACAAGGCCGTGCTTCCAGCGAGCTGCGCCTGCCTCACGAACAACTTTAGGCATCCTTAATCCTCCATTGACAACCTCTGGCGGAATATATGTAAGGCGATTGGCCTCAGAGATCCCAAACAGCGACGCCCAGGGTTTCGATGGGATCCCTCGAGAATCGCCATTCAGTGTCTCTGAAGCCGGAGCAGGTACCGCAACACTCGACTCACTCATAAGAAACAGAAAAAGAGGGGAAAGGAGTTGCTCCAGTGCATATGCTGGAGCCGGCGACGAGAAATCATGAATACCTTCAGTCGCCGAGAAATCGCACTCTCTCTCTACTCTCTATGATATTTTGAGCAGTTTTTAATTGACTATGTAACTCTATTTCGCAGGTCGAAACCCTAGTGAACTTGTAGCGCTATATATCTATTTTATCAAACAATATTATCTGCAATGATCCAATTTCTTGACAGGACAATCAATCATTATGACCATAAAACAAGCCTAGTTATATATAATAATTGATGAAGAGGGTTTTAGATAATTGTACTAGAGTACGACCCGCGCAATACTGCAGGTCGTCGAAGATCGTAATCGAAATATACTTTTTTTTAAAGGTTTTCACTTATTTGCAATTTTATGATGGCTAAAATATGAGATAATAGAAGGAAAATTCTAATTAATTTGATTAAGATTAAATGTAATCTAGGCAAGAACGGGTCGAGAATGGGTCGGGTCAGGACAGATCGGGTCAATGAGAGTGCCCATACCTGCGCCGTAAGTAATTTAACTAAGATTACATGTAATCTAGACAAGAACGGACCTGGAATGAGGCGAATAACCAAATTCTTTTATCGTATTGCTTTATGGAACAAAATAAATATTTTCTAAGTAAAATATCTTATCCCAAAATAGAAATAGTCAAATCTTCTTCTCTCTTTAACTGAACGATAATAAGAGGATATGTAGTTTTGTCTCATATCAACAAAATAGAATAGTGAAAAGCTATTTAAACGTATTCAAATTAGATATATACTACGAAAAGTAAATAAATTAACCCACAGTATAAAATTCCAAGGCCCCAAATAAAACAATCCAAATTTAATAGACCAGTTTTTAGTGAACACTATAATTGATTTGGTTTTATAAGAGAAGGTTAAATAAAAAGAAAATGACCCACCGTACAAAAGCCAAGACCACAAAGAACAGAGATCCATTTTAGTGAACAGTAAAGTAAAGTTGATTTATCTTTATATATAATAACTAGGTGGCGATGACGCGCCTTGTTGCGGGCGAGTATGGCCTAATGGCATGTATTATGTGGCCCGTTATGGTGTTTTGTTAGTATTATTAGCTAAAAATTAGTTTGTGTTACAGTTTTGTTAGTAATATTGACTTGACAATATGATATTGACTGAGAAGAGATATATGGCGATCAACTCCAATTTAAAAACTTTTGAAATTTTGGCTAATAAATGATATTTACCTAAACCCAAGTAGACCCATTGATTATGGGTAGGGTAGGGTACGGGTGACGTATATATGGGTTTGGAAGTTTGTAGATGCGTTTCGGCAGGGTATGGATATTTAGTTCCATAATCTAAATGTGTATGAGTTTGGTATGGGTACCCATTTATGCAATAGTGTCTTAATTACACAAACAAATATTAGACCTATTTGTAGAACTTCAAAAGTTTAGATACCAAAATGTAATACATTAAATTTTTAAGTAATAAAATGTAATGTTCAATCAATATTTTGAGGACTTATATGCCAAAAAATAAATTTAGGTTATAAATATAAAGAACTATTAAGTTTATGCACAAAACTGTAATTTGCATAGCTGAGACTTAATTCCTTTTATGGTGATGTATTTAAGATGATATACATAAAAATAATATACTAATTAGGGTTAGACGAATAAGGCAAAGAAAGAAATAAAGAAAGGGTTATGGAAGGCGAGTAAATAATGAAACGAAGAGGAAATAGATGATGGAAAGGTGTTGACCAATTCTTTTAGTTGGTCGTCAATACAACAGTCAACTCTTTCACCATAGCAATTTATTGACACGTGTTTATGTAGATGTCACATATTTTGTTACATGTAGTTAGTATGAGTTTTTTTAGTACCCCGTAAATGTACTAAATGAGATTATAAATTCGCTCTTGCAATATTTTAGAATCGTTTCTATTTTTCATTTATTTAATATTTCATGTAATGAACAAATATAAAATGGTCGAATCTTCTCCCAAAGTTGAGTGATACAACATCTTGTACTGTACAAACTAAATTTATACTTTTGCGTTATGGTGGATTGGATTCATGGACTGGTTCAAAAGGATTGGTGGATTGGATTCATAAATTCAAGTGAAATATAAACATTGGACCAATATGTAAATTTAAAAAATTGTAGGTACGGAAATCTCATAAAATTTAGATACCAAAACATAATTGTTCAATGATTTTACATTAAAATTAAATTTGGGTATCAAAATGTAAAATGTACATTATAGTGACTAATATGTAAATTTTAAAAATAATAGGTATGAAAATCTCATAAAATTTAGACACCAAAACATAATTGTTCAATGATTTTACATTAAATTAAATTTGAGGTATCAAAATATAAAATATACATTATAGTGACTAAGTTGCAACTTAATTAAAATTGGGGTATAAAATATAAATATCTTAGGCAACAATAATCTGACTTTGGCGTTATAATCAAATTTGAGTTATCAAAATGTAAAGTGTACATTATATTGACTAAGTTGTGATTTAATTAAATTTGGGGTTTAAAATGTAAATCTCTTAGGCAACAGTAATCTAACTTTGGATTTATATATATTAATATCCAAATTGTTAACACAATATTAATATAATTATGTATTTAAAAAACTATTAAATATACTATCAAATTTTCGACAAATATATACATCCTAATCGAGATACTACATACCTCTTATATTTTAATTCAATATATACATCCAGTTCAAGAAAAAATAACAAAGTTTAATGGCTCATTTTAACAATTCGTTACCAATTTTATAGATAAAAGTACACGTATTCCCCTCTCGCCTCAACCCCCTAAGTATTTAACAAATGGCATCCTACTACTCTACCTCATAGTCTTACTGTGTCTCATCATTTCCCCATTTTTTCTAGCCATCAACCATCAATTCTTCGTTCCCTTACACCAAAAGCGTGTCGTCTTCAAAATTTCAAGATTTTAATACAAAAAAATTCTTACCAGTTTAAACAATCTCTAAATCAGTGGTCACCTCAATAATCTCGTAAAATCTATCTCTTCCATCCTAGTACTGAGCTTTTAATATGTCTGAGTTCACATAACATGTAAAGAGCCTGAATTCTATAGAGTATTAGTCAATCATTAGTGATTGGAAGATAATTCGTCCGCTAATCTCAGCCCCACACAGAGCTTGTACTGCCATCAATTATTTTTCGTCCTTACTCTCACCCATCACTTGTATGTCTCTCTGGTGAAACAATCGCTCGTTTTCTTTCGATCACATCTATTAATTCACGAATGTTTTTTTCAATTCCTCCAAGTTTGTATTTTTATGCTCTAAAGTAGGAGCACCAACCAATTTCCCTCGAATTTTTTTGGCTAGGTTAAACCGCATAGCTACTCACATTTAGATAAATAATTCTCTACCCGTTCCTAACATCAATGTAAAAGACACTCAGTAAATGCATTCATTACTCAACTATGCTACCTGATGAAATTCTAAAATTTCAGCCAACTACCACCAATAGCTAAAACTTGTGAAATTTTAGGGAAGGTTATATAGAAAAAGTTAATGGTATGATTTTTGTACTAAACTCACAATTTAATCATAATTCAGTCGTTTCCTACCACTACAAACGCCTACCAGTTTGAATCGGGTATTCGGTATTTCCTGTATGAATAAGAAAAAATAATAAATATACATCTTGTTAGCCCCGATAAGCAAAAGGCTGAATTGGCCGGTAATCCTATAAACCAAGTCACAAAAAAAATCCAGTTGCTAGCTCCTGGCCCGAACCAGTTAAATAAGACCCAACATGCACCTAGATCTAGGAAGGGTGTGCTCAATGACAATATCAATGCGAAAGTTGTCCATATCGGAGAGAAGAAGCTACTAAACCACATAGCCACATGCCAATCTTGTTCGTTAGACTATGTGCACAAATTTGTATTAATAACCAATGTTGTGACCACTTAAATGGACAAACAGAGTGTCATAAATAAACATGCACCTAAACCATTATTAAATATGCTGAGAGAGTCCGTACACAGCTTGATGTGCCCGGACTTAGCATTAATGATGTTTAACATGATTTTCCTAATATAGATAGTGTCCACGTCTACAGGATTTTAAAGCCATATCAGAGGTTGTCCTGGAAACATCATCGGTGGGGTATTTTATGCTTAAATCATGACCCAATTGTTTCATACCACCTATCCATTTAGTCTCCAGAGGAGGTTTATCTGCTCGAACCGGTGGTACGGTTTTCAATCCTTTCTCTAGAGAGTGCAGATATTAATACACATTTTTTTCTAAACAATCAATGTGAAATCATTGCATATCTTACCCCGACCAGACTCCTACACCCGGACCCCTCTTTGTCTTTTCCTATTTTCTTGATATCTTTCTCTTCTTATCCGTACTAAAAACATTACCAAACACCAATCCATCTCCTAATCTCCATCTAATACAAACCATCTCAAACCATCCCAGGTCGAGATTGACTGTTCTGGCTTCCTAACCCTCAACAAACTGTCAACCGAGTCTAATTGGATTAAGCACTTCTAAATTACATACAAAAGATTTCAAATATCACAAACATTATGAATATACTAGTTACTATAAATGATAAAAACAAAACTGATTCAACCAATCGAGTGAGTGTTCAGTTAGTTCATGGCCAAAACCATTTTATTTATATAAAGAATCAAAATGCATAATCAGATTCATCTTCACTCATTTACATATCTGTGCTATACAAATTCATTAACACATAAAAAATAGTTTTTAACCATACATCAAATTAATCTTGTCTCATGTTTGTTTTATCCAATCATGTCAGATTATCAAGAGGTTTAAGCTTCTGGTTAACGAGTGAAATTTTATACTAATTTAAGAGTTTTACATCGCTTCTATATATTCAATACTCTAATTAAATATGCAATATTTGAGCAAATGATATATAAGTTGCGCTTTGTAGA